GGCAGGCCCCGCCCCACGCGGCCCCCCGCCCGGCCGCGGCCCCCCGCCACCGCCCAGACCCCGGCCGAGGGGCGGGCCCGGAGCCGCCAGGCCCCGTTAGGTAGCTTGCTTGAAGTCGAGGGCGAAGGATGCGGTCTGCGCGCTGATTGGCCGCAGCACATCACGTGGAAGGCCCTCGCCTTCCCACAATGCCCCGGGCACCTGGGCGCCCGAGGCCCCGCATCCCGGCGCCTGCGCGCTGGGGTCCCCCGACTCGCCTGTGCTTCGGAAGTCTCAGAGACTGGGAGCAAGCGGGCGCTATTGCCAGGAGCCGGGCAGGCAAATCAGGCGCCAAAGCGCGAGAGGCCTGAGAGCCGGGGCCTAGTGCGCAGGCGTGGAGGCCGTGGGAAGGGAAGCGGCGCTGGCGTCAGTGCGCCGGCGCTGCTGTACAACTGCAGGATTGGTGCTGTCGGTTCTCTTTATGGAACTTTGTTTGCGGGATGGTGGTTCTGCGTACGCAGGGCAGCGGATCTTGGGCAGGAGCACGGTCGGCGGGCAGTGATAGTCTCCTAGAGGTCTCCACCGGCCCAGTTTTCCTGTGCGCATGCGTGTGCAGGAACCGCACCTGCCCCCTCCCCACCAGGCCAGCGCCGTTTAAGAGGGGATAATTCAGTGTGAATTTAGTTGCCATGAGTTCGCACATCACTTTCATTTATTTATTTGTCTATCCATCTATTTATTTAAAGACAGGATCACATTATGCAGCTCCTGCTGGCTGGGACTCCCTATGTAAACCAGGCTGGCCTCGAACTCTTAACAGAGATCCACCTGCATCTGCCTCGCCGAGTACTGGGATAAAAGGCATTCTGCTCACGCTTTTAAAGGAAGAATATTTAATATTCAGTACAACGCAATTTTAGAAGTCCGAATTGAGTGGAGTTACTATGGAAAAATCTTTAATAAAATGGTCAGCCGGGCGTCGTACCGCAGGCCTTTAATCTCAGCGCCAGGGAGGCAGAGGCTGGTGGATCTCACTGGTCTACATAGCGAGATGTGGCTATAGGGAGAACCCCCCATCTCAAAAAACGACAAAACAAAACAAAAACAGCTGGAATTGTAGGGGAGGGAAAAATCATAGATGGGCCTGGAGCGAATTATCGAATGCAGGCCAGCTGTCCACTATGTAGTGCGACCCTGTCTCAAAAAGGCTGACGTCAGGGTGGTTTATAAAGTCTTCCGTAATCTCACCCACCTTCCCTCAACGCCTTTCACCTCACATGCTGCCAGGTGGCTGGGCTTCAGGGCCTTCTTGATTGCTGTCCTTACCTTTCATGAGCTACTGCAGACAGCCCCTTGTTTAAATCCGTAATGTGACCCTCTCAGTGAGGCCTTCCTTGTAACTCCTGTTCTTTGTCATATCTTGTCAATATCAAAGAAAGAATACTTAATTCTACTGAAAAAATTGCCTCTTTACTCTTTTAGTACATATCTGGAGACTTACACAGAAGAAAGTGAAGCCAGTGGTTACCTCTGGGGAGAACAGCATGGCAGGGTGGGAGTAAAACACAACCTTTTACCTTGTTTGATGCGCTTTCTTGATTAACCTTTAAAAAAGAAAAAAAAAAAAAACCCACAATCTGGGACTGCCTGCATTTGTGGCACAAATTTATGCTAAGTACTGTCCTGTGTCAGGCACTGTGAAGGTCTAGGGGTAGACAGAGTGCAGGCCTGTATCCCAAGCATTGGGGCTTGTAATGTAATAGCAGAAAACACACAAGTTGGCCCAGTGAAGAGAGGAAAATGCACTATGTGTGTGTGACTATGGAGAAAACCCATAACACAGAACATCCCCAGGCCTGACTGGGGCCTGGCAGTTCTCCAGGACCTTTAGAATGACAGGGATGGAACTGCACACATGTCCTTGTATGTATCAGAGAGAAGGGGAAGGGCAGCTATGTAATGTTTGACCATTATCCAAAGGGGGAAAGTAAAAAAAGAATGAAGGGGACATTTCACCTTAAGGGAAAGATGTGCTGGAACTTGAATTCACTTTATAAAGATCTTTCTCCCATGAGAATTTAAAGTGCACTAGGCTAGAGGTGACATGTCAAGGGCCCACAGATGTTTGCTTTGACCTAGTTTTTTGTTTTTTAATTGCCAGCATAAGTACAGGAAGCAACCTGAACACAGTTGAAACTATTCAGTAGTATTTTTTGTCGTTGTTGACACAGGGTCTCCCTGTAGCTGCAGCTGGCCTGAAACTCACTATGTAGACCAGGCTGGACTTGATCTCACAGAGATCTGCCTGTCTCTGCCTCCCAAGTGTTGGGTCTAAAAGTGTGTCACCACACCCTGCTCAGCAATATCTTTTAAAGTTAAACTCTGATTCAGTAGTCTAATTCTTAGACATATACTCACTCAAAATGTTTGTACACTTGCACCAGAGAATGTCAAATAAAACGTTCAGTTGGACTGTTTGTAATAGGCCCAAACTGGGAGCAACCTAAATTCCCATTAACAGGATGGTCTAGGTACTTTTCAATTGCTGTGACAAAACACTCTGACCAATATCAGCTTGAGGAGAAAAGGGTTTATTTGGCTTACATCTCCCAGTTCACAGGTCATCAGGGAGCCCAAGGTAGGAACTCAGGGCAGGAATCTGGAGGCAGGAGCTGGAGCACAGGCCATGGAGGAACGCTGCTTACTGGTTTGTTCCCCCCAACCCATGCTCAACCTGCTTTCTTATACAGGACCATCCGTCCAGGGGTGATACCACCCACAGTGGGCTGGGCCTTCCCACATCACTCAACAATAAAGGAAATGCCCCACAGACATGTCCATTAGGTCAGTCCTATGGAGGAAATTCCCCAACTGAGGCTCTCTCTACCCAGGTGTGTCAAGTTGACACTAAAGCTATCACAGGGGGGCAGGTAAATAAATGGAAGATGATCAGCAATGAGGATGAACATGTAACACACACTATTATGATTTGGATCTGAAGTGTCCCCAAAGGCTCATGTGTTGAATGCGTGATCTCCAGTTGATGGTGTTACTGAGAAGTAACTGGATCACAAAGGCAATAACTTCATCTAGGGGTGAATTCATTCATATGTTTTTAAAGAATTTATTATTTTATGTGTATGAGTGTTATGGCTGCATGTGTGCACCCGTGTCATGCAGTGCCCTTGGGGGACAGAAGATGGTGTTGGATCCCCTTGAACCGAAGCTGTGGATGGTTGTTAGCTGCCATGTGAGTGGTGGAATTCAAACCCTGGTCTTCTGTAAGCACTGCCAGAACTCCCCACTGTTGAACCATCTCTTAAGCCCCAGAATTCATTCATAAGTTTATAGCCGAATGGGCTTTTTGGAGGTAAGGTCTAGTTGGAGGAAAAGGTCACTTGAAGGGCCTATCTTGCGTCCACCTGGCCTCTGCTTCTCTGACTTGATGCTGCCACTAGGGTCCTCTGCCTCATCTCAGGCTCAGAACACTGGGGCCAGATGACTGGACTTAAACCTCTAAAATCACAGGCCAAAATCTTTCCTCTTTTGTTTCTCTCAAGTATTTTGTCACAATAATGAGATATTTGAGTAACACATGTATCCTACACAATGTTAGGGGAAAAATGCCAGGCCCCACATACTGGGTGATTCTTCTCATATAATCTGTCCAAACAGGCAAAACCGGTATGTTAAAAATGAGATTGTTTTTCCTGCTTCGGCTGTACTAGGGAACGAGTGACTGCCGGAGAGAGTGATAAAGAGCTTCAAGTGATATGATTTCTCCCCTCTCTCCTCTCCACCTCCCCTTCCCCTCTTCCTCCCCCCGCCCCCTTGTGACAGGGTCTTCTGTGCAGACTAGGCTGGCCTGGAATTCCTGACCCTCTCACTTCAGCCTCCCTAGCACTGGGATTGCAATTGTGGCCACTACACCCAGCTTAAATTCACTTGTGGCACAGGGGGTAAAAGCCCGACAACCTGAGTTTGATATCCAAAACCTTCTGTGGAAGGAGAGCATGGACTTGGGAAAGTTGTCCTCTGACTTCCACATGAGCGCCATAGCATGCGTGTTTATGTGGGTCCTAATGCGCGTGCACGCGCACGCACACACGCGCGCGTGCACACACACACACACACACACACACACACACACACACACGAGGTTGTTTCTATCATTTCTCAAAGGAGAAATCTCATTTCTATCATTTCTCTCTCTCACTGCATTGTATTCCATAGTGTGCATGTACTAATTTTTTTAAAGCATGTGATGAAATGTGCATAGCATAGCATTGCTACCCTGACCTTTTTAGTATGTGAAAAATAATGAAAAAATTGTATGGAACTCACGGGAGACCATTACATATACTTTGGGAGGACCAGAAAGGGACTGAAGCTTACGGGTCTTTGAGGGTCTAGTGTCTCTAGCTGCTTCCCATGCTTCCTGGTTGATGTGAACAGTTGTCCTCCACTACACATGCCCATGGCTGTGGTGTTCTGCCCAAGCACAGTTAGGGGAGTAAGGATGGACTGATCCTGTGAAATAAGCAGCCAAAATAAATCTTTCTTCCTAATTATTTTCCAGTGGTGACACCAATGCAGATGTAACTAAAGCAGTTAAAATGGCAAGTAGATTGCAAAAGGAGATTTGGAGGGGATAAACCCACAGTGTTCAAATCAGAAAGGAAGCTATGCTTGCCTGTGTACATGATTTCATACAGAAAATTCTCAAATATAGAAATTCAGTGACATTTATCATAGGAATAGGACAAATAGTTCCCAAAGTAAATTTCTCCAAGAACAACCCTGACAGCACCATACGCCCTTAATTCCAGATGATTTTACAAAACTAGCAATCACAATACTATGTCACCAGGATATAGACTAACACGTAGGCATGAGGGATCACTCCTCTACCCCCAGCTCTTAGAGGATGAGGCAGGAGGATTG